GAGGACGAGGCGGCGGCCGCTGGGAGGAGGATGGGGGCTAACCAGTTAGTGGTGCTCAACGTGTACGACATGGTGAGTGCGGCCCCTGGCGGCCCCGAGCCCGGGCCCAGGCCCCGTCCTCGCGCCCGGCGGGCTCGGACCCCGGCCCCAGGCGCTTCCTGCCTTGTGTCTCCGCCCCCAGCTTAGTCCTCTGGGGGAGAGGAGGGAGGGGGTATTAGGATTTTTTAATCCTCGCACTTGTCGACACTCGTGTCCGTGAGCCCAGTCAGCCCCAGGGTTTTGGCCAGTGCCTTCGGCTTGGTCAGGACCCTGGCTTTGGGCCCGACCCCGTGGTGGGCGAGCAGTGCCCTTTCTGCGAAGCTTCCTTCGCGCCTCCGAGCCCGCTTCCCACCTCCCGGGTCCCGGGGCTGCTCCACGCCCCCCTGTGCCGGTCGCCTGCGCTCCCGGCTCTGCTTCTGCCGAGCCGAACATCTCTTTTCATGCCGAAGTCTTCAGAAACTCCCAAGCCCCCCGAAGTCCAGAAAGTCACAGCTGTCGATGCCTGTGCTTGAATCCCTCCGAAGGTTGAACAGGAGCCAGCACACCCTTGCCTCCAAGGCAGCCTTATTACCATGAAAGAGGCTACACTTTAATCGAGAAAATAGCACAGCTGAATTCTTTAGGGGGCATGGTGGTTCTCCTTTCCTAGATTCAGAAGACCACTTTCCAGGTGATGCAACAGGTGACGTGCCCCAGGAGAGGGAAAGAAAGAACTTGTTTATTGTGTCATCTCGACTTTGAAGTATTGCAAGCACACAGAATCGAGTGCAAGTTCTGGTTTGCCTGATTATTGCGATTGCAGTAACCCCCAGAAAAAGCACCCGGTAGAGAATTACCGTTGCAGTTAGATTTGTGCTTGGGTGTGTGTACTTGCTTTTGGTTGATCAGTGTTTGTTTTGTAAAGGATCATATCTGTCTGCAATGTTAAACATTCCTTGTAAACTGGTTGACACATGAAAAATTCCTCATTCGTCTTTTCTGTTGGTTTAAAGACGCAGAAGAGCAGAAATACTACAGTTCTAAACTTTTTATTCCCTTGTATTTATAAGTTCCTAAATTTGCAATGTAATATCTTGGATAGGAAGGGATCCCTTATGCCATATATGAGGATTGTGTCTGGAGGGTTTGGGGACTGCCTGCCATTTGAGGTGAGTCCTCAGTTGAGTTCTGATGTGAGCCTGAAGGTGAAAGAAGATGGCCATACTTGAGAAAAGTGGAGCATGATAGAAAAATAATCAGAATAATCAGAACAAGAGATCATAGACTTTGTAAGGTCTTTGGCCTATGACACTAATTAAGGAATAACTCTCTAGATTTACACTTTTTGTATTCAGCTGTATATTTCCCCAAGACTTTTAAATTATCCTTTTACTTTTTCTGTGTCCCCCCCATCTGAATTTGGTTTCTTTTTTTATTCATGAGGACTGTTGGAAACTATCAGGTTATATTCTGCTGTTGAGAACACCGTGTGCCTTTTCTTCTCCATTAAGTTCCTTTATAAATTAGGAGTGTGCAATGGTCAGAGGCCACAATTTCAGAGCCTAAAAGAAATTTGTAAGAGTAGAGGAAGACTACGGTCATACCACCCGGAACGCCTTGGTCTCTGTCTGATCCCAGAAACTAAGCAGGATCAAGCCTGGTTAGTACTTAGATGAGAGAATAGAGGAAGAGAGTTGTGTCATTTAAATGAAAATGAAAATGCTTTCTTTGGCATATAGGGGCTTCTTGACACTTCAGGTGTTCTGTGAATCAAGAAAATCTTTTGCTAATTGTGGCAAATTGGGAATGGAGAGAGATGACATTCAATATTTTTTAAGGAATGAGTGTTCTGAATGATGTTAAAATATTAACTAATTAACAAAGATCTTATTCTTCACATCACTTTTGTAAAGTAGGTAGTTATTACCAAGGAATCAAGGTAGAGAAAAGGTAAGTGACCTGCCCAGACAACTAAAAATAGGTTCTAGAATTTCTATACCAAACTCTGATTTATTATCTTCTCCACTGAGTAATTCCTGTGTTTGTCTTGCATATTGCTCTTTCCTATCAACAAGAGTTGAGGCATATAAATGTTTATCAGAATGGTTAGACTTTTAATCAACTCAGTCTTGTGTGTTCTTTTGAGGGCTTTGGTCTATGAGTTTTATGTCAGCAGCTTATCATTACTTACTGAATTTTGACCTGGTGGAAGCCACAAGGATAAGTTAACTGTCCTTTCTTCTTTAAGGAATTTAGGATATCATAAGGGAGATATGACAGTAGTAACAACTCAAGACAGAATAGCATGATTTTGATAAGAGCAGAAAAGGATGCAGAGGAGGAGACGGTATGTGGTGTATGATCGAGAGATGCTGAAAGATAAAAGGTGTGAGAGTGGAAGGATGAGTAGTATCTACAAGGGAGGAGAACAAGCAGCATGAACAAAATGACAGGAGTAGGAAGGCACAGGTAGGATTTGGGAAGTATCAGCTGGTCCAGTATGGCTGGAGCATAGGATGCATGAAAGGACAAAGGACAAAAGTTTTATTAGACCTTTGCTAGTAGTCAGATGAGTCATGTGCTTGAGTAAAGGGCTGAGGGGGCTCTCTGATCCAGAGGAGCCATTTAAAGTTTTTCATGGAGGATAACAATGTGATCAGAGTTAGGTTTTACAATGAAGTCCAGTGGTTGAGGTATAAATTTTTTGTTGGTTATATGCATTTTCCTGACTTTTTTTGGTTTTTGAAACATTTTTGCTTGATGCCAACGGTAAAGTCCTCTTATCTTTGGTAATACTTGCTGTTCATCATAGGTATCTTTGATGAGGATGTTTGTCACCTGTGCAGGTGTAGTACATCAGCTACCTGGTTCAAACTTTGTAAACATGAAGATCAACCTCAGGTCACCGTTTATATTCACTGTTTTTAAGGACCTCTTGCCTTGTGGTTCTGACTGTATTTTTCCTATTCACTGGGTTGGGCTGCTGCAGATCATTCCTTCTCTTCCATAACTCTGCACATATACGAAAATAATTGTCAGGATCACCTGTATTAACTTCCTTCTCATGAAGGAATAGTATAATCCTCAAAAGGTTATTTAATCACGTATAGTGCTCCTAAATTATTGCTTGCTGCCTTTTCAGTGATTATGTTCCTCTGTGTACTTTGGGTTAATCTGCCACCAGTAAAACATGTCCTGGAATTATTTTCTGAGTCATGGGAATGAGGTTGTTCATATATTCCTAATTTACTGGCATATGTAGCAAAGCAGGTGATTCAGATTATTTTCAAATACTGGGACACATCGCTGGTGTAGTCACTTTAGTGGTCTTCATTTTTCATCGATCCAGGTTTTCGGTTTCAGATTATCCTGACTACTAGTGATTTCTTATAAAATAAAAATATGTAAGTATCTGATAATGTTTGTAGATTCTTCCTATATACAAATTTCTTCCTATTTTAAAATAGTATCTATACATCTTCAAAATCTTAAAAGATTAGAAAGAAAACACTTTCTAGAACTTTTCAAATGAGGATGTTTTTGTCTGGACTCCATTCTTCTGACCTGCTTATATCCGTTAGACTCCTCCAAGAGAGTGCGTGGTCAGGCAGGTGTGATAGATCTGACTTCTCATATATCTGTAGGTCTAATTCATACTTTCTGAACAAGTTCCAGAGTCATAGATTTCTTCACCTTAATGATCCCATAATACCTGTAAAGCAAAATATCCAGGTACAAACTTCTTGCTTTTCTCTTTTCCACACCTTCCACCCACGCCACCCACCAAAAAAACACCACTGCTGTTGTAATTTTATCTTGATAATTAACACTTCTTAGTTTTCCAAACTAGAAACCTGGGACCAAACCTAAATTCCTCTCTACTAAAACAACAATAACGACAAAAAACTCTCACAGTCAGGCACCGGGTCTTGTCTTTTTTTTTTTTTTTTTTTAGTTTGACTGATTCTGTCTGAAAGCCACAGAGAGCTTAACAATCAGTGGCTTAAACTGGAAGGATACATGTCTTAAGTCCAGAGATATCCAGGCCCTGGATATATTCAGTAGAAGCCCAGTCATGTCACCAAGAACCAAGACTTTCCACCCTACTAGTCTGCCTCAGCATGTTGGCTTTTGCCCTTGGTTTGTCCCCTCATAGCTGTAAAATGACTGCCATAGTGTCAAACATCATATCCTCATTCAGCAGGACCCGAGGGAAGACAGAACAAGTTAGGGCCTTTCTCTACACACACCTCTCCCCTTTTAACGGAAAGGGAATGCTTTGCTGGAGCCATACTCCTTTCTCAAGAGATTGTCTAGAATTGGCTCATGTGCTGCTGTGATGAAACAGAGTAGGTAGGTATCTGACTTTTCTAGCTTTTATGGTGAGTGTGGGTAAAGAAGGCAAGGGGTTAGAAGTGGCAGTTAACTGGGAACCTGTGATCATATTTTACTTACTTTTTTTTTTTGAGACAGTCTTACTCTCTTGCTGGACTGGAGTGCAGTGACATGATCAAAGTTCACTGCAACCTCAAAATCACACGACCCTTCTGCCTCAGCCTCCCAAGTAGCTAGGACTACAGGCACATGTGACTGTACCAGCTAATTTTTTTATTTTGTATTTGTAGAGATGGGGTCTCATTATGTTGTCCAAGCTGATCTCAAACTCCTGACCTCATGAGCTGCGGTGCTTGCCAACATATTTTACTTCTTGAATATTATTTTAAATTAGTAACTTTATCCCCATTTCCACTGATGCCTCTCAAGTTCAGGCATATAACATAATAACCTTCGTACTAGTTTCAGTCTCTAGTATTACTTCATTTTAATCCACCTTCTATTCTCTTATCAAAGTAATCTTTCTGAACTATACCAGGATAAAATCTAATATCTTTTATGATGCGGCCCCTGACAGTTTAAAGTTCATCTCCCACTCCTACACACATACTTCATGCTCATACAATGCAATTTTTTATTCATCCAAACAAGCTATATTATAATAGTTCACACTCCAGTGTCTATATCTGCCAGTCCTGTCTGGAATGTCCTTGTCCAGC